GGGGGGGGGGGGGGGGGGGGGGGGGGGGGGGGGGGGGGGGGGGGGAGGGGGGGGGGGGAGGGGGAGGGGAGGGGGGGGGGGAGAGGGGGGGGGGGGAGGGGGGGGGGGGGGGGAGGCGGCGGGAAAGTTGCTCCCCCCCCCCCCCGCCCCCCCCCCCCCAGGGGGGTATGGCTTTTGAGGAGGTGGAAGAGAAGGTAAGATGAAGTGTGTGTGTGTATATGTCAGTTCATTTGTTGTTTATGGGGGTGGGGTGGGATATGGTAGGGAGTTGTGATTTATGCCTTCATGTGGTATGTTCAAAATGCTATTCAGTAGAGGATGTAAAGCGGAGGGGATAGATAATAACAGCTTAAACAAAACCGGGAAGCTGAATGGGGGTGAGTTCAAAGGTCATACAATTAATGGAAAACCTACATGCTTTTGATATCAAACTTTTTTCTCTTCATTTTCTGATCGAGAACGGTTTATAGCAGCAACCAAGTAGATACTATCATCGTTCTTCCATTGTTAAAAGACGACACAAACACAGCAACTATCCACACCACCAGAGAACGAGCAAACCCTTGGGTATCTCCGCCACACCTTTTCCAACCATACATACATACCACCAAGGCAACTAATTCATTCCCCTAGGTATACAAAACCACAAATCGGAATACTCAAAATCACAAACCAAACTCTCCCCTAGGTACCTCAGTTCAAGTCCTCAACTTTTGTAAAACTTTTAATAACATCAACATTACTGTATACATACCCCTCCCGCCCCGCTATTCCCCCATTCAATGTTCGCTTCATAATATATAATAAATAAAAGTACGTTGGCAGTAGATATCTGAGAGAGGTACGCGGACAGCAAATATCGCCACGGCATCCTTTGCAGTGGTCATCTCTCCCTTCTTTTCGGCCAACTGAGTTAGTTCGACCAACTGAGTTAGTTGGCCGAAAAGAAGGGAGAGAAGAATGACGACCGCAAAGGATGCCGTGGGGATATTTACTGCCAGCGTACCTCTCTCAAATACAACCCAAACCAACTTGATTCCAAAAAAACAGAATCTCCAACAACTTGACAAAAAAATAAAAAATTGGTATCTTGCAAGCGAAATCTTTCCAAAAAAAGAAAGAAAAAAAAGAAAAAAAACAGCAACAACAAAAACAATCCAAACAGCCCCCCCCCCTTATACATCTGACCCCAAATATAAACCCAGCATCGCAAAAAAATATTAACTGTTTTGAAACCTCCAAAAATCACTCTCTCAACCGACTCTTACTCGGCTGCTGATTCAAACTCCCCATAAACATCGAGCTCTCCCTCCTATTCTTATAAGAGTGATCGTACGGCGCTGGCGACAATCCGCTCTCATACACCGGCCTGTCATAACCCGGTGATGGCCTCAACGCCCCTGGATGCTGCATCTGCGTAGGGTCAAAGTTGGGAGGGGGCGCATTGAAACTGCCTTCGTACGCTGGCCTCATGGAAAAGTGACCCCCTTGCTGCTGTTGCTGGGGTGGCGCCATGAGCTGGGGCTCGTACACCACACCCGGGCGCTGAGGTGGAGGGGTGGGCGTGCTCCTCGAGTGCATTGTCGCAGCATTCATCTGTGCCATTTGCTGCATCGACAGGGGAGGTGGCGTGGGCGTGCTCCTGTTTGGCAGACTATCCAACGACTCCATTAAACGGTGTCTGTGAGGGGAATCACTGTGCGAGGTTGACGGCCTTGGATCCGAAGGACGCCGTGGCGCATCCGAGGTGAAGGAGGATGGGAGTGATGGGCGGCGCGGTTGTGGCTGAAGATTGTCGGGCTCAGTGGTAGGCAGCTCATATTCAGTAGGGTCGACGCCAAAGATGGGCTCAAAGTTCTGCAAGAAAGCTGCAAAGATAGGAGCGGGGATGTTCAAGGTCGGGGAGAAAACAATGCCGACGTTTCGCACTGTCATCTTGTTGACGCTGGCATTGTTGATGATCTTGATCAAGAACGAAATTAAATACTTCAAAAGAGCAGCGTTGGCTTGAGGGAGACGATCCACAAGCTCGGCCAAAAGAGCATGCTTCTGCTTCTGGTTCGTGATTTCTATGGTGGCGATGAACTCCAGACGCAGATCGTTTGTCAGGATCGTAATCGGAAGCTCGCGGAGGTAGAGCTTGAGCAGAGACGCAACCGCATGAATATCGTAATACTGCGGATCGGTCACCAGATTAATGTCGCCCTCGGTATTGAAACGTTCCTTGAGCTGCTTGATGACGACGCTGGACCCGCTAAGACGGAAGATGCCCTCCTCAGAGGTGGCATTCTTGTGCTCCAAATATTGGATGCATCTGTAGACGACAGCAGGGAGCGGTACCCGAACGTCAGCTGGGGCACAGTAGCGCACGGCCTCGGCAAGACTGGCACCAAATACCTGGCGCACAGGGCCGTTGTACCCGTTGCCAGTCTGTCCGTTGGCAATGCTGCCACCGTCACTACCAAAGATTGAATCTTGTCCATCACCGGAGTTTCTGGCCTTGGGACCGAATCCGAAAAAGCTGCGTTTCCTCGCCTTCTTCTCCTCCTGGCTAAGCTGTTGAGTGGCCATGGCAAGCTTGTTGCCCCACGATTCAGAAGATGTCATCATCTGGGGATCCCGAGGTCCAGAGATCGTGTACGAAGATGCCGTTGACTGGCTGTGAGTCGATTCGTGATCTTGCCCGGATGGCGCACCCTTGATAGGCACGCCTTGGGGAGAATCGCCTTGCCTCGTGGCCTCATAGCTGACTCCGATGAGCTTATCGTCAGCAATCGAATTCTGCTTGCCTTGACCCTTCTTCTTCGAGGCGTTGGCACGGTCGGCGTGTGCCGAGTGTCGATCGTGAGGGTGTTCCTTCTTCGCGTTATCCTCGTCCTCTGGATCCTCATAATCCACCCAGCGAAGCAAAGCATCGACCCATTGATCACGCTCCAGATCACTCTCAGCACACAAAACATGCCTCGTGGTGCTGTTGGGGTCTTTCTTTTTCCGTTCCAAAATCAGAAAAGCATGGCGGTACTGGTTCTCAGCCTCATCGTCTTTGGGACGAGCGGGGGAGCCGTCGTTGTTGTGATGAGATTGCTTTCCAATCTGAGCCTTTTGGAGTTTTACTGTACCCAAGTGTGCACCGCCTGGTGTCTCATAGTACTTGAGTAGTGGCCCGTCAAGGATAAAATACCGGGCTTTCCAACCGCCAAAGTTCTTGCCTCGCTTGGTTAAATACCCAGTCCGGAAAGGTCTGCCGCCTGGCCCAGTGCGTTGCAATTCGGGATTGGCGTCACTTCTCGAGCTTCCAGTCTCATCTGCGTTGGGTGGCAAAGTGTTGGAAGAGAGATACTTGCACAACTCGAGTGCTGTGGCGGTATCCAGGGGCGTGTTGAGCAATTCCTCCAGATATTGATTCAGGGCCACACGCCGAGCATCAAGTTTGGCAGGGGCATGACCGCTGAAAAGAGATCTGTCTGGAGTCTTGGCAGTAAATGCGGGACATTGCTTAAGCCTCGAGTCCAGCTTCGCAAGTGACGCAGTGTCTTTCTCAACCCGCCACAGCTCACCACCATCAGCCCTTGACGAAACCGCCAGTGTGAAAACGGGGTCCTCTTCGAGCTGCGTCAAAGAAAGCAGACTGGCCCTCGAAGGTTTCATCCGCGAAGATGCAACCTTGAGAGTGATGTGAGGAAGGGCGTTGGGTGGAAGCAGGAGGTCTGGGTACTCCTCCGTCACAAAGCCCTTGAAAATCTTGGTTCTTTCTAGAGGGCTATCCATGGTAGAACTGGTTGGGCTAGCTTCACCACTGATTTGGGCCTCTTGCTTGACGATGAGGAGCGGCCTTGGTGATTTGAGCGCTAATGGTTCTCCTACAGGTCCTGGTGAGTATAGAGGGGTATTGGGAGGGAGTGGGATGGGCGCACGTGGTGGTCGAGGAGATAAAGGTGCTCCGGCAAATGTTGAAATCCCCAAGGGTGAGAGCGGTGGCGAAGTAACTGGTGACTTCAGAGGCATCGGCCTTGGGCTCGCGGGAAGACCTGGGCTCATCAATGCCATGGGCGGTGCCAGAGAATCCGAGTTCCCACTGAGAACACCAGCCAGAGACGCTGGTTCCCGAGGTGGGAGCACCTTGGTAGTCTGAACCAACCTAGGGCTCGCGGGCATCTCGGGCATCTCCGCGGGAAGTGGTGGCTCCTCTTCTGGTGTGTTCTTCCGACTGCTGCTCTTTTTGCTCTTCTTGGACAAGCTGCGCATCTCGGCCTCCTTTTGGGCCATGATCTCACGGTCTCGCTCGTCCTCTTCTCGTGTCCTTCGGCGTCCTCTCCGTTCATGATGCGGAATCTCATCTACTTCTAGTATATCGTCGTAATCTGTATCGGTCTCAGCCTCCTCCGGCGCAACTATCGCCGGCCTTGGATTCATATTATTCAATTGGAGCGGTGCCGGAGGTGGTTTCCGTGGCGGTGGGGCAGGGGGTAACGGGAACTTCGAGACGCCGTCTTCCGGCTTGGGCGACCGATCTGGCAATCCGACAGGCAATTTTGGCGGGGGCATCTTGGGGGGTTCTCGGGGTGTCTGACGAGAGGGCGGTAAATCGAGGTTGATGCGCAAGTCAACTTGATCGTCGGTTGTCTCCTTAGCAGCCTCTTCGGCTTCTCTTTCTTGGGCCTCGTGGTCGTATTGGTCGAGGGCGTGCTCGCTTGCCTTTGGCATCGAATGAGACGGGTCAAGCAAATCGCCAACGGTTGATGGCGGCAGAAGCAAAGTCATTTGATCGGCCGGCGGAGTGATTGGGTACGGGGCCATCGAAACATCAATCGGCGAATGCTTTGGGGCGTCCAAGCCTGGTGACGCAGGAACTTCCAACACCCGCTCCTTTGGAATGGCACTCGCTTCGCCGGTTTCGTGTCTGGCTGGCCCTTGCATGGAGCTCGTCGCTGGAACGGCCGGGACAAACGGTGCTTCTGCGTCACCTAGAACTTCCTTCAGCTTTTTCCTGTACTTTTCTTTGTCCTTCAACGCCCGCTCCAGATCCTTATTAAGGCCCAGAATCATGGCCCTTTGCTTGTCGACAAGCCGCCATAACTGCGAATTTTGTTGCGATTGGGACTGTTTTTCCTTCAACAAGTACTGAATGACCGCTTCGGCACTGCCGGCCGTCTTGATTAGGTGTGCAATATCCGTCGACCCAGCAGCGTCCTGCGGCGTCTTATTCGGAGTCGACCTCGATGAAATTTGAGAAATGGCGGAATCCAGGGAAGAGTTTCTCGCTGGACCCTTGGCGGGCTCTGCCCGCACGCTCGACGGACCGGCCATGATCGAGGGTGTAGACTGGCTTTGAGTAAGTCCTCCTGAGGGGCCCTTGGCGGCTACGACGGGGTCGGAGGCACTGCGCGCCTCATTCGGGAATTGCTGAGAGGAAGAGGGAGCCGGTCTGGTGGGTGGATGGTTAGCACGCTGGCCTGGAATCATGTGTGGCAACAGTCTTTGGCGCCAGGAGCGCGGGGTGCGGGCATGGGAGGTCTCCATTGTCACGAACCCTGGACTTCTCTCCTCTGGGGTGGTGCTACCCGAGGAGTCACTGTTAAAGTATGTTTTCTCGGATGCCTGCGCCTGGCGGTCCTCGGGGGCCGTCGTTACAATCCGTGGGACGGAGGCTGCAGATGGGAACTCGGCTCTCGTTGGGCCGGGACTCGTGGGCGGAGAAACAACGCTGCTCGAGTGCAACGGGCTCGGTGCGGGTTTCGGCCTGGACCTGTATCGATCAAAGAGATTGGATCAGTATTTTGTGGACACTGTAGGACCTGGCACGAATAGTTGCACCACAGCAGCATAAACGCCAGACTAGCCCGCGGTTGGCGTCAAGCTGTGTCTCTGGAGCCGGCAATGCCAATGTCAAGCTCCTCCAACCACGAGGATTGATTCGCCCTTTGTCAACGTCGACTGGCTACATGCAAGCTGCAGACCCAGTCTGTGGAGAGGAAGATGCCCGAACAAAAGAAAATGCAGAGAAGACCAAAAACAAGCCGGTCCCCAACCCAATCTAGGCATCAAGGAGAGCCAATGGGCACAAGAAGAAAGAAACGATGTGAAAGAGACAACGCAACAACCAAACAAACTCAAAACGCAGGCGAGTGATTCGAAAAAAAGGAAGCAATAGACAACGAGGGCACTGTCGTACCTAGGGTTCGCCGCCGACAAGGGCGAGGAAGATGGGCTATTGGACGAGTAGCCGTGGGTCAGTACTTGTGTTCTCCCAATAGTAGGGCTGTCCTGGAAAGAAGAGTCCATAGATCGGGGTGGAGTTGAGGCCACAGAAGAGCGGCCGTCGGGGTGGTGGTGATGTTGGTCGTGGTTGAGCTGTGACATGGTCCGCTCAGCGACAGACAGGTCGAGGCCTTGGCCAATTGGTCGGAGAAGTGAAAGGGGGGTCCCGTCAACAAGACGCAGGACAACTCGCCGTGGTTTCGAGCTGCCTGGGAGACCCTGATCAACGTCGCATAGATTAAATTCGATTCAGTAGCCAGGACTGTCGCCTGTGTTGCCGCTGCCGGGAATCGAGGGGAAGCGCGCGCAGCAACTGCAAGTGACGGCGATGGTAGCACGGGTCGACGCCGTGCAATGGGAGTCGGCTGGTGGTCAACGGACGACCATGAAGAAAAGATGAAGGGATATGCAGTAGGCAGTCCTGGAGAGAGAGAAAAGGGATCCCCTTCCCCCCCCCTGGTGCTCGTGCTCTTGCAGGAAATGCACCTGGCAAGATCCCGGCCGGCACGCGCTAGAGGCTCGGGTGTCCAGTCCGCTGGGCGTCGCTTGGTGGTGGTGAGTGGTGACACTGGCAGCAGGGACAGAAGGCTCTTGCTCACCCCAACCTGCGGCGTACGAGTCGTGAATCTGAGGCTTTGCGTCTAAAAGAGAGCTCCTGGAACTGGAACTGGAACTGGAACTAGAAACTGGAACCGGAACCGAGACGAGAAAGGGTCCAGACAGCCACTTCAGGTGTGTGTGTGTGTGTGTGTGTGTGTGTGCCCCCCGCGGACGACAGGCGGGCTTTGTCAGAATTCAAAACTGGATCGCACGGCAGGACGGCGAGTGCTGCAACCCGCAGAGCTCTGGCCTCATTCTGGCGCTTGCCGTGGCACCTGCGGCTGCTGGCGCTCCACTCCTGCCCCTAAATCCCGAACCCCAGACTTCCCGACCCCTCCACCACGCTCTGGGCTGGGGTCCTTGATAAGATCACGAGTGCTTGTCCTAATCTCCGGCCAGAGGAACCGCTTACCTTGGGTCCTTGGCTCCAGCTCAACCGGCGCCTCTTTTGAATGCCTCTATAGATCGGATATCTGGTGTGTACACGCCATGGACAACGCTGCTCTTGATATGGTGGATGGCAGCGTCCGCAATGAAGGACCTCGCTATTCAACCCTCCTACAACTTACACCTCAAGGTCTGGTATTTGTGTCTCTGAAACATGATATTAGCCGGGCCGCAGACTCTGGCTGGCTTAAAGTTTTGTGGTTTTTATATCATGATTTCTGCCTCCGAAACCGGGCCCCAGAGTGTCATCCAGAGTGTCATCCAGACATCTCAGGTCTTGATGATGCTCGACTCAAAAGACGGGATTTGCGTGATGACCGTTGAATGTTTTCTTGGTAGGGGTTGCAATCGACCCTCGCCTCCCCGCAACATCTCAACCCTCCCGCCCAGAACCCCGGCCAATATTTGATTCAAGGAACAAGGTTGCAGTTTTGGCCGTTCCACTCGCCGCCGCCTCAACACCCGCAAGTGTTACCGAGGCTCAGTTAAGCCTTTTTGTAAACTCAACTCCGAATGACGTTTAAGTCTGTTTTGTTTAGGTATATCACCGTCTCACTCATCTTCCTGCTGCCCGCTGACTTCAACATCGCATGTGAGAGCGAGGTGGTAATAAACCAGCATCTCAAAAGGGACCAATCTCCGTCCTACCAATCCGCCATGCCCCATCAATGCGGACTGTCGTCGTGATGCCCCTCTAACGGCAACCCCACATTCACTCTCAACAGCGCTAGTTTTTAGCGACAAATGTATCATGCAGGAGTCCAATTGTAATCCCTTGCGGCTTCTGCAGGTACATCACAAGCCAGAAGTTTAACAAGTCCTTCTGCCAGCCCTTGACAAGAACTTTGACAAGGCGGCACGCTTGCGGCAAAGACGGGGTTTGAAAGTATTGAAAGCCTGCGTCCCAACTGCATATCATCGTCAAAATGTCATCGGCAGTCTTTCTAGCCGTAGGACCCGTCAACATTTAGATACCACACCACCAATTATGGAAACAAAGTTGTCACTTTGGCGCCTGCTGGCAGAGGCGTCTGTCACACACAGGGAGCGCGCAAGCTGTACAACCTGGTTATCCTGATCACCTGGCCACATGGGTTGATAGTGTTGGTTGGCATTTACAACTCCTTGCTATGCTGCTGGGCATGATCAGATCCATAAGTGGGAAATGGGAATGGAGACTTGACCATCAACATGACCTGATGTTTTGGGGTTGTTGTGAGAGAACATCCAGGATCCTGTTTTCTAATGACACCCTATGAACATGAATGCCGGATCTCTTGGGTAGGTAGGCTCTTCGATGGTCATCGGAACCTGCTCCGTGGATATGATTCGCCAGTGAGGCCTCGAATCAAAGCATACAGCTCAACTTTCTTCAACAAAACCTTCACATATATTTGTAAAGTAAGTCGTCAGAACTCTCCATAGCTTTCCGGGCTCATGATGACGGCATCCGGAGTTCGGCACGGTGGAGGTTTATTTGGCCCGGCTGGTGCTCCGTTTCCCCCACGGCTGCACGGGCAGCCACGGTTATCCTCCGGTCAAAGGCTCCACAAAACCCGGATTTCACACACGCAAACGGCATCCAATAAGATCCCCCACAGCACCTGCATTTTCCATCGCAATTTGACGAATCTTGGTCAACCACTTGGGATGGCAGGTGTCTGTCATCTTGTGAATGGCGGTGAGCAAGTTCCAACTTTTGTCGATGCTGGAGGACGGGAAAGCTCGCAGATTATCCCCCCTTTTCGGAGCTTCGTGCCCGTCTCAATCGGCCAACGGCCGTCGAGAGAACAGGAAGGCCGGGCAAGGATTGACCTTGCGATGGCAGGTTGGGTTACGTGCGTGATGTGGCATCGCGGAATTGGCTGGGGCATCTTTGTCCTCGTCAACATGTCGCAATCAACAACTTTCTCAGCTGGCGTAACGGTTTCGAACCGCAATTGGATGCCCCGATGGAATCGATTTGTTTCTGCAAGTCATTCTTCATTCGGTGCAAGTTTCGCATGCCGTGGTTGTTTTCTCACATGGACTTGGAAGCCCGTGATGAGCTCTGATTGGGTTGCCTCTCGCGGCTAGAGCCCCCTGAAATACAACATCAAAGTCCAGCCAGCCTCACAACTCCCAAGCTTGGATTGACACATCCAAAAGAAACACTCGAGGCTGAGAGATCAGGCCGCGTCGGGTTTCTGGTTTTTGTTTCTTGGGCCGACATGGCTGCAAGAGATCTCTGGTCAGTGACACGAACGATCAGCCACCTGCGAACAAACAGCTTCAGAGTCTGCAATGATCTTCAGGGTTCATCGTATCGAGGTTTCAAACAATCGCCGGTGTTGCTTTTTATATTCTGGAGGCCTTCTGGAAGCCGTTCGTGGCCGTAGATCAAGGCCTTGATGTTCCAACTTGCTGACCCGGTGGCCGGCCCAAAGCTTGCCGATGCGTTCATCGTCCGAATCTTGCATCCCAAGAGGTTGTTGCCCAGGCTGGGGAAATGCATTCGGGATGTCGATTGGTCGATCTGGCTTTGGGTAATTCATGGAGAATGATCCGATTCTGAGGAATCAGACGGCCACTGATACAGAGCCCAACTGAAGATCTATGTTTGATGACTGAACCGGGCTGAAGTCGGCTTTTCATTTGGTAAAGGCATCTACTATCTCCGAACCCGATCTGACTCGCATCTGGTTGCGAGAGGCGGCAAGATGGCCTTAAATTGTCTGGATGTCGCCGTCTGCGTTTATCTGTCCGTCAGCCAGTCAAGACCTGGCAAGCTCGCAAGTCCGCGGCTGCGAGCACGAGACCGAGTCAAGCACTAGATTCTCCCGTGGCATCAATGCCGTAAATAATATCGTGTCCTGAGGAGAGAAAGGCCTGAAACATCAGCGGTCCAGATGCAAGGAATGGATGGAAGCGTCGTTGTGTCAAGTCTCAGGCATCGTTTCAGGATGCTGGCCTGTGCGGTTGATCGGCACCAAAAATTGCCAGGAAGGGTTCGGAGCAGGGGCTCTAATCACGTGCAAGCGCGTCAACTGCGCAACCTAGCCCACTTCCATCGCGTGATCGCGTGCTTCAATTTTGTAGAGCGCGACAAATATGCCTGTACCATCCTGTGTATTCATTTACCTTGCATTCACAAACTCCTTTCTAGGGTGAGGCTCAGAACAGTCCAGGGTGGGACCTCCTATCGCTATAAGAACACCACCAAGCAAACATACTCTGTAGGACGGCCCGTTTTAGCCTTGATTTCGACTGAAGCATGTCTTCCAAGAGGAACTGGTTTTTTCCTGACTCCGTTGGCTCATTATTTACACTCTTCATCACCGTGAGATCATAACTCATCCCATAGGAAGAAGGTCAATTATGATTCTGCAAAACATAACAACAGGCATCTACACTCACAAGCTCGTCAAACTATTGGGCCCGGTAAGACCAGTGTCGGCAAGTCTATCACATGGATGCGGCTTGTGCTTTTCGAGTGTTCCCTCCAAGCCTGTATGATATTAACTTTCCAGTCATGATATTTGTAGCTCTGGTTGCCAAACATGCTTCTCATTTCAGTCGTCCGCGAGCTTGGCAGATTCATCAACCTTTCTGATGAGCTCTTACACCAACTGGTCAGTTCACTAATCTTGATCTTAACAACAGCAGAGACATATTCCCGAAGAACATTGACGACTAAGTTTGAGAAGAGTTTCCTTGTCCGGCATCATGTGGGCCTAATAGCTTTTGGGTATATTAAATATATCCGTACCTAGGAAGCGGTCGTTACTGTCATTAAGATAGCATCATAGAGTACGTCATGTCGTATCTCATATACAAAAGCATTTCCGGGCCCTTGCGCATAGACAGCCAAATTCCAACCCAAAGGAAAACACTCATAACTCATAACACGTCCATCCTTGTTCAACACCTAAAATCCCCATACCGTCCTCGAGACTCCTCCCTCATGAGACTGACGTCGCTATTCCTGTCTCTCTCATAAATCCTCTCTCTGCTGTGAATATGGATATGCTCGCAATCAGGCCCGTGTCGACCATGGCCATAGTAGTGGTGACAATCACATCCGCCACGACGTTCGTGCCTGTACTCCCTGCCTCCCGCACTCGACACCGAACTCTCCCTTCTTATCCTCTCCCGCTCCCTCTCCGCAACTGTAATCCTCACCCTGTCCCTCTCATCCACAGAGCTCTGACTATCGCAGCTCCTATCCCTCATCCTGCTCAGCCCTCTCACACTGCTTCGAGGCACTCTGCTATCCATACCCTCGACGCCGCGAATGCTATCTCTGGGGACTCTGCTTTCCATTCCTTCGACACCCCTGATGCTGTCCCGGGGAACCCTACTTTCCATGCCTTCGACGCCCCTGATACTATCTCTTGGTACCCTGCTTTCCATGCCTTCAACACCTCTAATACTGTCTCGCGGTACTCTGCTCTCCATACCCTCAACGCCCCTAATACTTTCACGTGGCACTCTGCTCTCCATGCCCTCCACACCCCGAATGCCACCAGTAGGAACCCTGCTTTCCAATCCGTCCACACCCCTAATGCTTTCCCTAGGGACTCTGCTCTCGGTTCCTTCTACTCCTCTGATACCTCCCTTAGGAACATGACTCTCCAGCCCTTCAACTCCTCTGATACCTCCAGTAGGGACCTTGCTTTCAAGCCCCTCGACACCTCTGATTCCACTCTCCGGCCTCCGACTTTCCAAGCCATCCACGCCCCTGATTCCACTCTCCGGCCTCCGATTTTCTAACCCATCCACGCCTCTGATTCCACTCTCCGGTCTCCGATTTTCTAATCCATCCACACCTCTAATACCACTCTCCGGCCTCTTACTTTCAAGTCCCTCCACCCCCCTAATCCCACTCTCCGGCCCCCTCCTATCCAACCCTTCCACCCCTCTCACCTCCCTCATCGGAATCCTACTCTCCAACCCCTCCACCCCCCTAATCCCACTCTCCGGCCTCCTGCTCTCCAACCCCTCCACCCCCCTGACCTCCCTCATCGGAATCTTACTCTCCAACCCCTCAACATACCTATACGTCTCCCTCTTCCTCAACGGCGGGCTCGGCGTCCTCGGCGCCGGCAGCATCGGAACCGGCACCTTGACCTCATACGGCACCGGCACCTGAACCTCATACGGCACCGGCACCTCCACCTCCACCACCTTCTCCTTCTCAACCGGATACGGCATCGGCACCTCCACCTCAACAACCTTCTCCCTCTCCACCGGGTAAGGAACCGGAACCTCCACCTCCACAATCCGCTCCCTATCAACAGGGTAAGGCACGTGAACCTCATAAGGGACAAGCCGTTCCCGCTCGATGATCACCTCCCTTTCGCGAGTTTCCCTGCGAGGGGAGTGGGAACGCCTTTTGCGGCGGGATTTGCGGGATTTGGAAGATTTGGACGTTTCGGAGGGGTCGACGTCTACGGCTATGACGTCCATTGTGTCGTCTTCTTCTATTGGGGCTGGGGGTGGA